TTTTTTTTTTTTTTTTTTTTTTTTTTTTTTTTTGGTACCAGTGATCGAACTCAGGACCTTGCACTTTGCAAGACAGGCTCAAGTACACTGAGCTAAATCCCCAGCCCTGTTTCTATTATTTCTGCTTGGTGTGTGGGAACAAAGCTCCCCTATAAAGACTTGTTGGTGCCTGATTCTGCAGAGTGAGCTCCCAAAGAAGATGTTATAACTCAGCAGACACTGGCTTTGCTGCACAGAGGCACTGCCAACCACCTTCCATAGCTCATCTGACCCTGATGGCAATGGTAAGAGATTGTTACTGTTTTGCCCCCATTTGAGAGGTGAAAAAGCAAAGCTAAACCAAGTGTAGCCCACTTGCCCAGCATGTGCAAGGCCTTGAGTTCAATTCCTAGCACTGCAAAAAATGAGAAAAGTCTGGTTTCTACTCTGTGAGGAGCCACAAAAGTTTCAGAAAAAGGGGAACTGTGTCAGCACCTCTCCGTCTGGGAAAGCTGCGTAGACGTTTGAGGGTGACGGCAGGGTCAAGCACCGGGAAACTGGCCCTTCTGCTCTTAGGTCTCCCCAGGAAAGGAATAAACACATCTTACCTGCGTAGCTGGACGACAGCTGGATGAGGAGGAGGGCGACGAGGCCCCCAGGCAGCGAGGCGCTGGATAAACCCCACATTTCTGTTGTTACTGGGCTGGGGCCCCACCAGGGGTCAGGCCAAGCAGAGGCCCCGGGACTGCATGGCCCCTGCCCCCTAAGAATGCTGAAGGGAGGATCTGGGAGGGCCCTGCTGCCTAGCCCAGCCTCCACCCGGCCATGGCCACAGCTGTGCCTGCAGGAACAGCCAGTCACTCTGCCAGGCGTTTACACAAAAGGGCCACAGACCACGGGATGTCCAGGGTTGCCGTCCCCGCCCCTAGAGCCGTGGAGCAGTGGCCGCCTGGTACCGGGCCTTCCTCCTGCCCCCTCCTGGTAACCCAGTCTAGAGGGGATGTCTAGGGCTGTTCCGTGGGCTCAACCCTGCCCTGAACCCTAGGGAGCCCTGTTCGCGGAGTCTTCGAGCTTCCTCCAGCCCCTCCAGCCCTCAGAACTAGCCCTGGGGGAGCAGTGATTGCTGACTCTTCAAAAATGTAAATATATATTTAAAATTTTGGCCTCCCTCCCTACACCCTTGACTTTGTATTTCTGTTGTCTCACAACTGTCCTGCTGTGGAGCCAGGCTCCCTTCCTTATGTGTACACATGAGATAGGCTATTAGGAACTCTTCAGATTTCAGAATACCCATAGTGACAACGTTGGGTAAGAAGAGACAGAAACACTACTCAGTGTGCAAGGGAGACTGGGAGGAAACTCTCTAGGTGACAGGCTTCCCCGAATTCCAAGGAGGGCCTGCTTTTATTATTCATCAAGAAGTGCAGGGGATGGTTCCACTGCCTGCCTTGCAAGCGCAAAAAAAAGAAGTGCAGGGGAGGGTGTAGTATACCATCCCAGGAACAATAACTGTGCTAAGATTAGAATAGCGAGATAGGAACCAAGTAGCCGGGTGAGGTGGTGCACGCCTGTAATCCCAGCATGGGAGGCTGTGAAACACTACTCAGTGTGCAAGGGAGACTGGGAGGAAACTCTCTAGGTGACAGGCTTCCCCGAATTCCAAGGAGGGCCTGCTTTTATTATTCATCAAGAAGTGCAGGGGATGGTTCCACTGCCTGCCTTGCAAGCGCAAAAAAAAGAAGTGCAGGGGAGGGTGTAGTATACCATCCCAGGAACAATAACTGTGCTAAGATTAGAATAGCGAGATAGGAACCAAGTAGCCGGGTGAGGTGGTGCACGCCTGTAATCCCAGCACTTGGGAGGCTGAGGCAGGAGGATCGCTGTGAGTTCGAGACCAGCCTGGGCTACATAGTGAGTTCCAGGGCAGTCTCAACTGCACAGTGAGACACTGTCTCAAAAAAACAAAGCAAAATAAAAGAAAACAAAAGATGGGAACCAAGTTTAGCATCTCAAGGGGAAAAGTTAAGATCCTTCCCCTTACCAAGTGTCTGCATAATTTTCTGCCCTCAGTAGGAGGCATTTTGTCTCAGGGGTGCTCTTTATGGCTTTCCACGCAGCCAGGAAGTCATACTTCTCTGTTCCCGAGGCAAGTTAGCCCCAACCCTGGCCTGTGGGTCCTACAACCTGGCCTCTCACCAATCTGTATATCATGGCTAGTCGCCAATAGTAGGCTGCTTGGGTTACTTTGCCTCTCACCCCAGAAAGCACAGTCGATACCAGAAGTTCAGGTCAGCTGTGCCTAGAGAGACAAGTACGGAGGAGAAGGATCCGCACCTGTCCATCAACAAAGGCATCTTGTCACAGAGCCAGCCTGCAGGATACATCTGCAGCCCAGACATTGCTCTGATTTCCTCAGGGTCGTGGGGAAAGCAAGATCTGGATTGGAGGCAAAGATTTCGGTGGTGGTGGTGGTGTTGACCGTTGAACCCAGGGCCTCACACGGGCTCGGCAAGCGGGGGACCACGGAGCCACACCAAGCCCTATTCCCCAATTCTTTCTTCCCTTGCGCCGCCCCTTCTCTTCCTCCAAAGGTTCACTCCACCACTGAGTTATACCCTCAGCACTTCGTCATTTTTAAATTTTTAGGCAAAGTCTCAGTTGCCCAGGCAGAACTCAAATTTATCAGGCTCCTGCCTTCTCCTTTGGTCCTAGGATCACCGGCACACGCCACTGTGCCTGGCTTCATAGTTTCCAATCTTTTTTTTTTTTTTTTTCAGACAGGGTCTTGCTATGTAGTTCAGACTGGCCTTGAACTCAGTGGTCTTCCGGCCTCACCCTCCAGGGTTCTGGGATCACAGGTGAGCGCCATGCCTGGCTAAACAGCATTTCCCAAATTAAAATGAGTGCGTCCACCTGCTCCATTCTCAGCAATTTACAGGCACTAACCTTAACAACAGTAAGATACACGGCACAGTACTATCACTCTCGTGTATTTTTGTGCTTATTTTTTGCACTTGCACCCCACCCTCCCCACCCGCTTCTGCCCCAGTTACTTTGGTTTACAGATCAGAGTCCCAGGAACAAAAGGGGCAAAGTAACTTGATCTGGGTGGGGTCACCAGGTAGAAGCTGAGCTGGGTTTTCAGGCCTTTGTAACCAGTGCCCTCCTGGACTCCCAGGGCCTCTGCCTCCCTTGCCTGGCCCTCAAATGCCTTGCCCTCCTGAAGGTGGAGGATTCTGGAGCTGTGGCGAGAAGTCCCTGGGACTTCGTGGTCTTTGGGCAAAGGTGCTGTGTGGGGCTGAGCATTTAGCTTTTTTTAAAAAAAGGTGCTGGGCTGGGGGCTCAGTGGTTCGGCACCTGCCTGGCAAGCCCAAAGACCTGAGTTCAATCCCCGGTACCAACCCACCCCCAAAAAGTGCTGTGTGAAGGGAAGGATGAAGAACCACTAATACAATAAAGCCAGTAGGGCTTGCACCCTTAGAAATCTGGGGTGCAGACTAGGGTGGTGGTGCACGCCTGTAATCCTGCATGCCGGAGGCTGAGGCAGGAGCATCCCAGGGAGCTGGAGGCCAGCCTGGGCTATATAGTGAGTTCAAGGTCAGCCTGGACTACATAAGAGACTCTCTCAAAAAACCGAAACAAATAAATGAAACAACAAATCGCTGTCCATAAGTGAGATAGTAAGCACTCAGCAAATGGCAGCAATAGCTTTCCCAGATTTAGTGAAAAACCATACATATTTGTCTGTTTTCACAAATGACACGCTGTTCTACTTCTCTTGTTACCCACCTAATACATAATCCCACAATACAGTGTACAGCTCCCAGTCACCAGTATCGTCTCTGAATCTTTCCCACGTGCGTATACACGCATCTGCCACGAGAGGGCAGCCAGGAGAAATCCTTGACAAAACAGAGGGTTTTTGTGTTTGTTTTTCTTGTGCTGGGGTTTGAGCCCAGAGTCTTCTCACTGAACACATCCTCCGCGCCTTTTTACTTCATATTTTGAGATAGGGTCTCATGAAGTTGCTAACTTGCCAGGCTGGATTTGAACTTTTCATCCTCCTGTTTCAATCCCAGACTGCCGGGGTACCAGGAATGTGACATTAGGCAGAGTTTTTGTTTTGTTCTTATCATCTTTTATTATGCTCTTTATTTTTTACTTTGGGGTTCTCATATAGGACAAAGCATGTAATATTCAAGTTTCAATGTTAGATTTGTTTAATTTAGGGTGGGGGATTTAGTTCAGTGGTGCCACTGGCTGCCTTCTGAGCACAAGGTCCCGAGTTCAATCCCCACTACCAAAGCCAAAGTAAAACAAAAAAACAGAAACAAAACAGATTTATTTAACTTAATATTATGGCCTCAAGGTACATCCATTTCCTACAAATGGCTGAAATGTATCTGTCTTTAGAAGGCCACTGTATATAAATACCACACTTTGTTTATCCGTTTATCTCTTCATGAACATATAGCATATTTGCAAGATTTAGCTATTATGAGTTGTGCTGCTATAAACAAGTTTTTCCCCACATAAATGGCAACATGTATCTTGAAGATTTTCCTTATCAGTACCTAAATGTCATCCTTGCTGTTTTAATTAATTAATTTTAAAATTAGACTTTTTTTTTTTACTTTTTTTTGGTACCGGGGATTGAACTCCGGTCCTTGCACTTGGGAGGCAGGGGGGCAGAACCACTGGGCTAAATCCCTGGCCCTTTTTTTTTTGAGATAGGTTCTCACTATGTAGTTGAGACTGCCCTGGAACTCACTATATAGTCCAGGCTGGTTTAGAACTCACAGCGATCCTCCTGCCTCAGCCTCCCGAGTGCTGGGATTATAGGTGTGCACCACCATGTCTGGCTAATTAGCTATTTTTTGATGAGACAGTCTCTCTCTATGTAGCCCAGGCTGGCCTCAAACTCATCATACTGCTTCAGCCTCCTGAGTACTGGGATGTGTGACACTATTGCAGATAGGTAACTTAATTAGATATCTTATCAGAAGTTAGATAGGTTCAGCCCCCAAGAGCCAATCAAGACACAGTCACTATCTGACAGAATTGTAAAAGGAAATTACTGCACCCTTGTGCTTCCTCTGAGGATAAAGAGCTGTGATTGATATTTTAAATAGGCATCAATCACCTGGGTGGGAGGCCAAGGTCTTAACCCAGGCTTTCCAGGAAATATCCCTGACCCACCCTTACTGAAAATCTTTGTATGCTTGCTATGTGATTTGCCACACACTTGACCCCCATTTAATCAATATTTCCTGGGTGACTCTGATGGTAACCTTACTGGCTGGGTATGGTTTTGTCCGCTTCATGCCCACCTTGTAGTTTTCCATTGGGTCTTACAGTTTTGTCCCACTTTGTACCCCCCTCACCACATGGCTTTGAGGTCCATCTTTGAGGGCCAGGGATTTAGCTCAGTGGTTCCACTGCCTGCCTTGAAAGCACAAGGTACTGAGTTCGACCCCTGGTACCAAAAGAAAGAAAAAAAAATCTTTGAGAAATGGGGTGGATGGGCAACTCATTTTCTAGTCCCCCTTCCTGTCTCTCTTAGACAGAAGGTATCTTTCTCTCAATAAATTTTTCCTACTCTTAACCTCAGGTTCTTAGAATTCATTCTTCCATTTTAGAGAACACAAACTCGCGTTTCAGATTCCTGGTCGGCTTGGGACTTACATTTCTTCCCCTATCACCAGGCTCTCTTCCTTGTTGTTTCACAGCTTGCAGCAGAAATGTGTCATACAGTCCTCATTTCAGTAGTTTTCCAAAATATTTAGGTTGTTTCTTTATAAAAATATCTTTCACTAGGCTGAAACAAAATGTTTAATTCAGTTCAATTAACAAATATTTAACAGTAAATAATGTGTCCAGTTTCAC